AAACCACATGTGTACATGAGACATATAGTGTGCCATGATATGGACTAGCTGCATTTGCAAACAGCAATTAAAAATTCAGTTTCATAGCTATAACGAGTTTTAAAATCAAATGCAAAAGTTTATACTTTTCTGGCAATGGTGTTATAAGAAATTATCACAGACTTTTTTGTCCTAACTATATATATCACAAATTTGGATTTGTTATAGTGCAGTCCTAAAATAAACCTGAGGTGGTAGGATATTGAAGCAGAGGGAAATTGTGGGATTAAACACTAGATTCCATAATCAACTACAATTCATGCTCCATTTTACAAAAAAATGTATATTCATGCTTGCAAAACAATAAACCTTGCAGGGTGTGTGTATGAATGCACGTGAAGGGGGCTGTGTCCCACAACAACCATGCCAAATACATTTGTACTAACCTCCTTGGTCTGTTGAATACAGGATTGCAGCAGGGAGGAAAGACTCATGAGGTCTACTATGTCTCTTAGCCTTTTTTACTTATTTATTCCGCAATTTTCCTCCACATCAAAGTCCTTCCTTCTATGGGGTTTATTGAAGTATATAGTTACTTTGGGGTTTTACTTGGTCTTCTGTGCTGGTAAGTGTCTAAAATAGGACTGCTCAAAGATACAGAAAAATGAACAAAACTGTCTTATACAGGAAATAAAATAACACTTACTACTAAATATATATTAATCTATACAGGTAAAGGATAATAAGATATATAAGGGGTGCCTGCAGTTACTTATGCCACTGCTGCAATATAGGATAATAAACCTATACCATATATATACTTTTAAAGATAGAGATTGAAGATTCTTCACGTAATATCTCATTACATAAGAAGCTAGTCCCTACTCTGCCATACCAGAATTTTATGGTAGAGGTTTCTGGTCTTCGGATCCCTTGATGTGGTCTATTTTTACAAATGCCTGTGCACTTCAACTTTTCTCAGTATTGCCATTCTAATAATATACATGAGTAAAACAAACAGTAATATTTCCATCACCCAGGTTTACAGTATTGCAAATCTTTTGTAATATTTTTACAAAAATATTCTGTGAAAAAAGAAATATGAAAAAAAAGTAAAAAAACAAACTGTATAAATAAAAAGATGAATAAATAAAAAGGATAACGGCTCTGCCCCCAACAAAACCCAAGAAGCAATGTCTTCACCTTAGTATGCACAACATGATAAAGCTGAAACTCCGGATCATCAAGTGGATTAAGGCTGCAAGCGACGTTTTCTGTGACCTTTTTCCTTTATTTGTGGTTATACTGTTCATGTCTGCAGAGTATTTCTTGTACCAAAGACTTTTAGTCCTCTACAAGATTATGATCTTCAATTTGCCCTACCCTGGTGCATCCATACCATAAAGATTAACCAATAATGATAAAAAAGATAATAAATTTTGTAAATAATTCAATAATTTTAAAATATATAGATAAATATGCAAATAAAATAAATTAGGATTATTCATGAAGAGCATTACCTAAGACTGATAGGTTATACTGAATCCATAATAAATAATGCCTCTTCCTTGTTCTACCATTTTTATTATTTGAAAGCAACATATGTGGTACTTAATGTATGACATATAATATAATTACATACCTGCAATCTTTTTATTTTAAGCTGTAATAGAAATAATTCAATAATTTTGTCTCTATCTGAATATTTTCAAAAGAAATGAGGAAAATGTACATGCTATTTATGTTGTACATAATGGTTCAAACATGTAGGTGGCCTACGCATCATAGTAAAGCATTGCGGCAAAAGGGTAAAAAATGACTTAATAATTAGGAGAAAATGAGTCAAATGGCAAAGGCTGTAAAGCGCTTTCGGACAGAATGGTAGAGAAAAAGGGAAGAGCAAATGGAGTATGGCAGGGATTTGTAAAGGGGAAGGTATAGGGTATAGGGTATGATCAACTGAAGAGTATCTGTGTGTCTGAGGCAAGGAGATTAACACTGTGTATGTGGAAAACTACAAAAGAGCCATTATGAAAAAGAGTAATATGGGTGGAAATGGTAGTTGGAGAAATAGGAGAAGAATCCAGAGAATAAGAAGGGGGTGAAGTATCAGGAAGAATGTCAGGAGGCAAAGGATCCAGGGAAGGATACTATTGTGACATAAGGGAGTCACATGAGTATCCAGGTGGGAGTGGTGGATAAAAGGGAAAGAAGAGAGAATGGTGGTACATGTGGAGTAGGAGAGGATGTGGTAGGAGATGGAATGGAGCATTTAGATTACCTGGTGAAGAGAAGTAGGCATCAGAGAACTGGTAGACATTGGAGTATGTTGAATTTATACTGGAAAAATTTTGACTAGGGGAGAGAGAAAGTACAGGTAGGATGGTTCAGGGTAGAGGGAAGAGATACTGAGGAAGATGCTGAGACATTTTAAGATAGGAGCGGAGCGGAGCAGAGAACAGTTTTAGAATATGCAGAAAGAGAAAGCCCCTTTTTCGTGTGCTTCCTGTCTGGTCTCACG